AAGTTGCTGTCCATGATATACCTGATTTTTAAATCTTAACTGCTCAGTACAAAAAATGGTTCTTCAATCTTGACTTATTTTCTCATGGACTAGTTTCATACTATGTTTTGTTTAGATATATGTTGTCAGTTTTCATTATTTCATTAACAATACAAAAGAAATTAACCACTATTTTGTATTTTTTAAACAAAATCTAGATGAGGAAGAGGATGGCAAGACTCCAACACAACCACTGTTGAAAAAAGGCAGGCATTTTCCATCTTTTTGTTTCAATCCATTTTTTTCCATGCTGTTAACTCCAAATTTTTTTAAGTCTTTATCTCCATGGTGAGGTTGTAATACAGTTATTTGTGAATTACAGATTAGAGAAACGATCACTGATTATTCCAACTACATAAAGCAGTTTCACACAGCAAAAATGAAATCATATCAACAAAATTGTAAAATAGCATGTTATTGAAAGTGTTCAGATCCTGAAAGTTAAGGTTTTAGTGATTGAATGTTTTTGTTTTGGCCCATGTGTTAGATAATTAGAAGTGAAAAATGAAGAGTTTCATTCATGACCATAAATTGCATCCATCTAAATCTTTTTCATAACAATTTTATTTAACTTTTATGATATTTTTCATATTTTCCATAGTTCCTCTGAGCCTTGGGAGATACATAATCATTATTGAATTAGAGGGGTAGAGGTGAGAGTTTGGAGGAGTATGGTTTGGTAGCCATATTATTTCATCATGAATAATTTTGTACTCTGCATATATGCCATAACATTTTGTGGTAGATGTTATGATTTAAATGACAGTAATTCTACATGGTGACCAGATTTCCTCCTGTGGATTTCTGCTTTATAAAACTGGGTAGTATTTTCATAAGTAAAGTTATTCATCTACTCTCAGAGCTCATTTTTTGTTTGTTTTGGTTCAAAGATCCTGGAGAACATAGTTATTCACCTTTGGTACATAGTTCATTTCAACCATGCTGTAAGTGGGTTCTTTTCCAACAAGTTGCGTGTGTACTCTAATAGCAGGTTGTGGGATCCCTATCCCAAACCTCTTCCCCACCCCAAATTTCAAGATATCAAATGCCAAGGCAAACAATGAGTAGAATGTTTGACTCAGTGGGTGTTTTTCATAGATGCTTCCTTTTAGTTCTTCAGTGTACAAGCATACTTTTTAAAAATGTTCTTGTGAGTATCGGGTCATTGACAGGCCAGATTATGAGTTATAGACCTCAGATTATCCAACTAGCCTAAAAGATTAAACAGTTTTTGAAGAATTGTGTTTAGAATTTCTGGGCCAGTTATTAAAAAGTTCTACATTTTGTTAGTACTTTCAGAACACTAAAAATGTTTGGTTTTATACTCATTTTAAAATGTTTAAAGTTCCGTAAGGAACTACGTTTATTATGGTTGACACATTGGAAGAGGAAGCAATATAATTTTTTGCACAAAAGTGAGGAAATGGTAAGGAAGGTGATTAAACAAAAGGAAGCTTAAATTTTTTTCTTACATATGCTTGTTTCCATCCTTTAGAACCTAAAGGCCCTGTTGCCCCATTAAATGTTGCTGACCAAAGACTTCTTGAAGCTAGTACACAATTTCAGAAAAAACAAGGCAAAAATACTATTGATGTCTGGTGGCTTTTTGATGATGGAGGTGAGGTTGCTTCTAATTTATTGATGCTTTTTATTAAAAATGTCTTCAGTAATTGGCATAGAATGAAGTATTAAAAGTAAATCATATATAGCTGAATGTACTTAAATGACTTATTGTATTTTATTATTTAATCAGGTTTGACCTTATTGATACCTTATCTTCTGACTACTAAGAAAAAGTGGAAAGACTGTAAGATCAGAGTATTTATTGGTGGAAAAATAAACAGAATAGATCACGATCGGAGAGCGTAAGTTACTCTAAATGAAAATGAATTTTGCCTATTCAGTGGTTATGTCAATGTTAGAATTTATGTTGAAGATATATGTAGGATGAAAACTACATAGAGAAAATTCAGAAAACTCTAATTTCAAATTAATATTATACTTTAAACATTTTATATTCTATTAAGCACTGTAACTTAAATATTTTAAATCCAAAGGAAAAAATTCCTTAAATGAATGTATCTTGAACAAAATTTGGGCATATATATATATGTGTGTGTATATCTCTGTAATTTAGTCCCCTAAATATATGTAGTACATATAGAGAGGTAGAGATACATACATAAATATATAATTTGTATTTGTATTTTGATTAAAATTTAGGACCTATCAAAACTAGTTAAGCACTGGCAGAAGTAAGATAGGACTTCTAGGTAATACAACTACTTTATCAATATCTGTCAGTAGCCATGTTGTCCTATGCAGTCCCACTGATTCCGTCCTACCTCCAGACTCAATTCCAGGACTAGAGACTTTATGCCATAGCCAGCTTCTGTGCTTCTCCATGTAAGAGTAGAATTTTAGAATATTTAGAAACAGTAGATCTTAAGCACTTGATGAGATTAGAAAGAAATATAGATGATTCTGTTATATATAGCACCTTTACACAAATGATCATGTGATTCTGTCAATAGATTAGAAAAAAACTTTTGAAATAATATAATATCCATTATGTTGAAAAAATTGAAAGGCTTGGGAATAAAGAGATTGGCTTTAATGTGGTAAATAGTTTCCATAACTGAAAGCTGGCATCATTTTTAATGGTTAGAACATTAGAATTCTTTCCAGTAAGATCAGTGATAAAGATTGGGGACTCTTGTTTGGTATTGATATAATCCAATCTCAGTAAGACAAGAAAACCAAATTGAAGAAATTACTTAGGCAAAGAGGAAGGAAAATTATCACATTTGCAGATGATGTGTTGGTTACTTAGTCTTGAGTATTGTAGATTCCACTAAAATTTTAATTGAAGTAATTACTATCTTCATCAAAGTAACACAGTATAAAAGTAATCCACAAAATTATCACTTCTGTATATATTACCAACAAAAACCCAGTAAGAAATAATTTTTAAAAATTGTTCCATTCATTATAATTACACAATGTGTAAAATATCTGGGAATCCACTTACTGAGATATAGTAATCATATGAATACTGTTATAAAAATCTTTACAGAAATAGAGGAAATCAATTTATTGAAGAGTGACTAATTATGAATGGGCTGTATAAAATGATAAAAATAACAAGACTGCAAGGATTAATTTACTGATTCAGTATCATACCTATCATATCACCAGTAGATTGCTTTATGGAACTAGACAAAATGATAAAAATTCACCTGGAGGATCAAAGGACCAGAAAACTAAAAGAGAAATAATTTTTAAAGTTGAGAACAAAGTCTAATATGTAAGAGACAGACAATATATACAAACATAAGCAAGAACCATTCTCCAGTAGATAAAAGGTTACTAGAAAAAATGTAAACAAAGATAAAAATGCTTCAATTCATCAGAGAAATGAAAATTAAAATAATTACGAAACAGTTTAAAATCTCAAGAGACGTTTGCTTGACTGTACTTGTTTGTTATGAGAGAGACCATTTTATGGAGGGGATCTATGGGGCAGTTTGAGGGTGATGCAAAAAACAAAAAAAGAAAATATTGTCAATGAAATCTTTTTAAAATATATAGAAGAGAGCAGGTGTTCAGAAGGGGATACAGACAAGAAAGGTAATGTTGGTGTTACCATGATAACTTGAATATATACCTTTAAATAAAAACAAGCTGTATATGTAAGAGAGGCACAGTTTCATATGCAGCCTCTTTTCTCTTTGTATGTAGAAATGTTCATGTTTGTCGAGGTCAAGTCCCTAATTTTTAAAAGTGATTTAAAAAACAAAACAACCTTAGCCCAAGGACACTAATTTTCAGGAGAATGGGAGCGCAGTCCATGCTAAAATATCCTCAGAGAACTGAGGGATGTACTGTCAGGTTCTATTAAATAAATTTTTTTTTTCCAGATCAACTAGTTTCAGCCTTAATGTGAGAATTGAAACATTTCCTAAATTTACAACTTTGTGTCTCTGTTTTAGGATGGCAACTTTACTTAGCAAATTCCGGATAGACTTCTCAGACATCATGGTCCTGGGAGACATTAACACAAAGCCTAAGAAAGAAAAGTAAGTTACATAAATGTTCTCTTCAGTTGAGTAGGTCACGGGTGTGTTACTCAAATGTATTCATGGGGAGAATATTCCATTTAGAACTTAAATCTTTTTTTCTAAAAATGGGAGAAGTGCTGGGTTTAGAGTCAGAGAAACTGGGTTTAACAGTCCTGTCACTTAACTACCTTCCCTGGGGCTTCAGTTTCCTTATCTTGTACATACCATGAAAGGGATAAAGATTTGGTTGAAATGATCTCTAAGGTCTAGACTTCTACTCCAAATCTTTGATCTTACGACTTCTCCGTGGACATTATATACAAGAAGTCATTTGACTCCTTGTCAAAGATGATGCTGATATCTTCCCTCTCCTTTCTCTTATATCATAGGAAGATTGCTTTAAAATTGTTAAGGTTCATAAAAATTTAATTCAGTTCAAGAGCATACACATATTAGCTTAAAGGCACTCAGAATTCCTCCATAAAATCAAACTTTATTCAGAATTATCTTCTTACTTTTTCTACCCCTCCTTGAAAATGTGGGCTCTTCTTTATTTTCATAGAGTCGTTATAAAATTGAAATATTTGTTCGGGTTTTCTTTTGGAACTGTACAAGACTATTATTTCTGTAATAAGTTATCTGATTTCATGAAGTAATAATGTATATCTTCTTGATTGTCAAATATTTAAAATCATTTAGGGAAGTGTGCTTTGTATAATCTGTGTGTATATGTGTGAGAGAGATTATCAGTATGGATGCTCACTTTTCTCATCTTGTGCTACTTTTTTTGGGGGGAGGGAGGTGGCAGTGGGGTTAAATGATTTGCCCAGAGTCACACAACTATTAAGTGTCTGAGACTGGATTTGAACTTAGGCCCTCCTGACTCCAAGGCCAGTGCTTCATCCACTGTGCCACCTAGCTGCCCCTTCCTGTGCTACTCTTGACTAGGCATCCCCCTAAATCTTTTTGTCTGGGGATACAAATACAAGCAAGCTTTCTTGACATTGTGTGTATGCCAGTGGAGTAAATGAGTTGTCCTTTTACTCCTTGCTCTTGATAGATAACTATCCTACTTCCTTAGCTAGTCATATAGTACTTTTATGCCACATAGTCTATTTACATCCACCATGTGCCTCTCCTTTGTTTTTTGGATAACTTTTGTTGTGTCAATTTTATTGCAGTTTAGAATACAAGTCAGTAAAAGGCTTTATTTCATATATTGTCACAAATCATTGCAAGGAGGAGTAACAGTTGACACACAGAGAAGTTTAAATAGTTTCCCACAGATACTTGTAGTATACAGAAAACACATAATTATGTTGGTGGCCTTGGGAGCAACTTGTTGTATTTCAGGGGAAGGTAAGGGATACAGAGAATATCTAATCTGCTAGTCTGATGTTGGCCTGAGAATGCAAGATAGTGTGGACTCCTTTTGGTCAACCTTATATAAGAACCAGAAGAGGGGCAGGAGTTAGCTTGTTTAACATTGAAATGGAGGTTTATTCTAAAATTGCATTACTCTTGTCAAGGAAGGGAAAATACAGTGACTCTTTCTCTGATGCCATATCTGTACCTTTAAATCTTCATAGATTGGTATTGCATGATTGCTTTATCTCTCCACTTAGGAAGATCAAGTGGTTTGTTTTGTTTCTTTCTGGCTGCTATGGTTTCTAGGCTTTTTTGGCTTCCTCATTGTGGCTGTTGATTTACATTGATTACTTCCTTAGAAAAAAGTTGATAGTTGGTGTTGATAGCCCCTCAAATAACCACCATGTCTTCTCATGTTTATTTTTCTAATTTTGTTCCTTTTTTAAAAAATTATTTTATATAACAGATCAGCAGCCTAATTGTACAGACAGCTTATTCAGAAATTGTTCCCACCTGAGTAACCACTCACTCCGTTTTCTGAGATGTTATTTGATTCTTATTGTATCTACTGCCTACAGACTCTCTTCTTAAAGAAGATATTTTATTTCTATGTGCATGAGTCTCCTGTGCATCTTTGACAACTTGTGTTTCTTAGACCTGAGCCATATTTTTTGTCATTCTTTTCCATACCCACCTTTGCATTGAAGTTACCAAGTTTAAAATATGTCTTTACTTGATTTGGACAGTCTCATCAGATTCGCTGTAGAATTCCTTGATTTCCACATCCTTTGCAACAGATGTTGGTATATAAACTGTAATTATTTCATCACACTCTTTCTGCAAAAGTTTGAGTCCTATAATACAAGATTCAGCAAATTAAATGTTTAATTCAACATCTGCTTGTGCAAGGCATGGCAATATAAATAGCATTTAGTACAATGCCTAGCACATAGTAGGTGCTTAAGAAATGTTTGTTGACTATTGAAATTCAGAAACCAAACCTTTCCTGCCCTCGAGGAGCTTCTATTAATTTATCTATCAGCAAGCATTTATTAAGGTCCCGCTATGTGACAGGCATTGGGGATACAAATAAATACAAGAAAGAAGGAAGCAAGGAAACACTGTTCTCAAAGAACTGATACGCTGTCACAGTCTCATAAGATCATAGATTTAGACTTAGAGCTGAAAGTGACCTCAGAGACCATCTCATCCATCTCTATCATTTTATAGCTGAGGACAAGTAATAAGAGTCATAGTTGAAATTTGGCCCTGGGTCTTCTGGTTCTAGAGCTCCTGCTCTTTCCAGTGTACCAGATTTTGAAGTCACTTTTGTCCTGAGGAAGCGTAGTGGTTAGAGTGCTAGCTTCAAAGCCAGGAAATATCTAGGTTCAAGTCTTGACTAACACATATTGGCTTCATAACCCTGGGAAAGTTACTTGTCCTTCATTGGTTAACCAATTCTCCTATTCTCTGAGCTGCAGGGGAAAGGTACCTGCTTTGGCACCAAATAAAATCACAGAAAATGAGTGCCTTGGTCAAGGGACTGTCTGGGTGGCCTTGGGGAAGTCATTGAACCTCTCTTTTCTTCAGTTTGTAAAAAAAGAGGGTTGGACTGGATGGCCTGCCTGCCATCTGGTAAGAGCCCTTCTAGCTCTGAGTCTGTAATCTGAGACTGCTTAACTAAGCATATAGTTTATAAAAATATAAAAGTGCTGCTCCTGTCCACACACACAGAAGACACTTGATAGGGAACCAGTGTGGTTATACTACCACATGTTGGCCTAATATGTTCATTCCACCAGCACTACTAAAAAAAAAAATACTGAACAAAGAATCATTGTCAAAAATTCTTTCATTTTCCTGTCAAATAATCATATACACTATATATAAATTTCATTCATACTCTTTCTAGTATAATTTAAATATTTATAATATACTAATTGTACTATTTAGAAGGATAACCTCTGTGAAGAGAGATTAGGTAACACTCACAAAATAATCTAACAGCCTAGTAAATACTAATGAAGTTTAAGCACTTTAAGCATTTCAAAGACCTTCCAATAAAGGGAAAAAATTATCAGGAAAAAAAAGAGTTGATTGCTTTTCCCCACATAAAAATAGTAGGAAATGGCAGGAAATGTGATTACGTTTTTCTGATATGATCATTTTGCTACAAAGAGTTCAACAGATATTTAGCATTTATTAAATTAGTGTGAGTAAAGCATTGTGCCAGTGCTTCAGAGGCAATGAATTGAAAGAAAGAAAAAGCTAAAAATGTGAAAGAAAAGAACATTGGTTGGTTGATTGATGAATTTACCTCTTTTCCATTACCTCCAAATAAATGCTTTCCTTTTTACCTAGTCAATTCAAATACATAATCATGTTGTTTGACATGGTTACAAAGATGCATTCTTCCCAATCCAGCTATTATTTGTAAACAACCTACCATAAACCTATATTTCTCTTAATATTCATTTCTGTTTTCCAACTTTATTTCCAGTCTCATTCTACCAAATTTATTTTAACCATATATTCCCACTCAGTTCTTTTCTAGTAAATAAATATATTATTCTTCCTTCAGTTATTTAAAAACGTTTTTTGGAAGAAGTCCATAGGCTTCACCAAAACACTAAAATTAATGCAAAAAAAAAATTACAAACCCTCACTCTAGACACAATAGAGTGTGAACCAAAGTAAAAGCAGCACCATGTCCATGGATATGTATATTGAGAATAAGTACTAAGTACAAGGACATTAGGGAGAAATGGTACTACATTCTAGTACAGATGACCAATGTCCCATGAAATAACTATTCACTGTGTTTGAATGCAGAATAAAATAAGCTCTGCGAACTCCTTATTTGTCTCTGAGCCATCTTTCCATCTAATAGAAACCTTCTTTTGCCTTCTTGCTTCACTTCCAGCAGGAATTTAAAGTCTGATATGATTTGATTCTTCAGTAATATAGTCACTCTTTGGTCACTGGACAAGTACCACATGTAGAGTTTGAACACTCTATTAATATTCATAAGTGGTTAAACCACCATGTGATTCCTAGCATCCTCTGCCCTTTTCTACTGCTATACCAGCATCATTTGGGAAGCTGAAAAGGACAGTGCAAGACTGAGCCATTTTGTAATTTTTTTGTAGTTTCATGAGATGTGGCTAAAAACTTAACCCCCAGAGGCAGCTAGGTGGCACAATGGATAGAGCACTGGCCCTGGAATCAGGAAGACCTGAGTTCAGATCTGGCCTTAGACATATAACACTCACTAGCTGTGTGACTCCAGGCAAGTCACTTAACCCCCAACTGCCTCACCAAAAAATTTAAAAAAAAAACTTATAAATTGGCCAGTCTTCTAGTAATGAGCCACTATACATTTAGTTACGCCGGTCCTTAGGAAGCAGACAGTCTTAGCACAACTATACTCAAGGCCCTTCCAGAATGATAGAATCTGCTAGAGTTTGAGCTCCACTAATATAGCTCAAGCCCCTCTAGGCCATAAAAAGTCACAGAATTCTTTTACCTGAAAGCAAAGTTAATAGAGGGTGAGTAGCAGTAATGCAAAGGACAATCAATTGTGAGGGAGTGGGAGAAGTGACACAAAAGATGGTGCATCACAGGCATAGTTATAACATAAAAAGAGGCAGTCTGTATCCCAGAAAGTCCAGTCTGTGCCCCTGTTGGGGGTTATAGGTAGATAGGCCCCAGGACAGTGGAGTGTATGGGCAGGAGAGAGAGGAAAAGGGTTGTCACACATTGCCAGGCCAATGGAAAACTTCAGGCCAATAGAAGAATGGCAGGAAGCATCCACTGCCACCTCACCCCAGTGGGGGCCTATCTACCAGGACAAAGCTTGCCCAAGATAGAACATCAGAGTAGGATTTTGTGAAGAGTTATGAAGAAATATTTAGAAATTTTTTTTACCTTGTAGAAATATTGAAAACAATAACTGATTTTAATTGTTGTCTGTTTCTTTGAAGTATTATGGCTTTTGAAGAAATGATTGAGCCATTCAGGCTTCATGAAGATGATAAAGAACAAGATATTGCAGATAAAATGAAAGAAGATGAACCTTGGAGAATCACAGATAATGAGCTTGAACTTTATAAAACAAAGGTATTCTTTATCTTCCTTTACATAATCCTACCATGTGTTTTAAAGTATATATATTTTTTTAAAAATAAGTCTCCACAAATTGCTAAAGAATTTTTTTTCTGTCTTGTGGAATTTTAATTTATCATTGATCACTTGTTTATCTACTCTCTTATATAGTTTTCTTTTGCCATTTCTAAAATTATTAACCATACTAGGTGCTAATTTTCTAAATTGGGACTAACTTTTCTCCTTTGCCTTTTAGACGTACCGCCAGATAAGATTAAACGAGTTATTAAAGGAGCACTCAAGTACTGCTAATATAATTGTCATGTAAGTAAAATATGCAGAATACCATTGTTTAATATACTTTTTCTGGTAAAGTGTTATATACTTTAGATGGATGGGTGGAAATGTAGGTAGGTAGACAGATAATGTTTTCATGTGTTCCAGTTTAGATTTTTGGTATTGTGTTCTAACATACATTTTTAATTAAGTGAATTTTTAAAGACTGCCTATTAAACACACATACTGACTTTTATAGTGGTGAAAAATAGATATCTGCTGCTTAACTTTAACTACAAAAACTTTTTTACATCAAATATGATGTTGAATCAGTTTCCTTCTAAGTGTAAGCACCTGTAAATCCAGTGCCATTTTGCCAAATTCCTTACTATATTTTTTTCTACTTTGGGGAACTTTTTGGACAGTTCATTGTTTATTAGAAACAACCTTCAGTATGTGAACAAGAAAAATAAAATAGCCCTTATCTCTGATGTCTTCAAGTTTTGGTGGTTTCTAGCCCTATGAATGGGAGCAGTTAGGTCACAGTGAATAAAATGCCAGGTCTAGAGTCAGGAAAACTCGTTGTAAGTGCTGCAGGCACTTACTAGCCGTGTGACCCTGGACAAGTCACTTCACTCTGTTTGCCTTAGTTTCCTCATCTGTAAAAGGAACTGGAGAAAGAAATGGCAAACCACTCCACTATCTTTGCCAAGAAAACCACAAATGGGATCATGAAGAGTTGGACACAACTGAACAAGACAACCTGTGAATGTATCCAACAGACCCTTTGCTCAGTTGTTCTTTTTCCTTTCACCTGATAGAAACTGAGAATAACTCAAATCTGATTTGTCACTTGTTTTCATTTGCTAAGAGCAGGAGTTGCCCCACTTTCACCTCACTTGCATTTCCACTTCTTTCCATCTGATTTGGAGCTTTTCTTGTTCAGACAGACAAAGGAAAAGTTAAATGTAAAAGAAAAAAAAAGCAAAAGCACTAGTGAATTGAAGCAGATATTTTCTTTTACTGAATACCACAAGATCATTATTTTAATTAAAAAGTTATGTCTTTAAATTTAACTTGTTTAAATAACTATTGTTAGTAGCCAGTAAAAGACTTGTTGAATAGTAGATAATCATAGAGCTCTAGAGCTGGAAAAGACCTGAGAATCCATCAATCCACCTCCTACATTTTATAGATAAGGATTCCAAGGCCCAAAGAAACTATGAAGATGAAAATGAAGTAAGATTAGTTATCTCTGAACTGTCGTGCATGCTGTCCATTTCTTGCCTTAGTTTAAGTAGATGAGTAAGTTATATGTTTCTTTACCTGTTTGAAATAGAAGTATCCTTTTTTTAAAAAAAATAATTCCTTTCTGAGAGAGGAAACATACTGTGAGGTGTTTACACACCAGTGTAAGATGTGTTCAGCTCTGTGCATCATTATGGGAAAAAATTGTTACTATCTTGCTTTGGCC